CAATAGCAGAAATGTCAAATATCAAGTTTTTCAAAAAAAAACTTAGTTGTTGTTATTATTGCTTAGTTAAAATAACGTAATCGGGTTAGTTTATATGAAACACACATACTATTAGTTAAGATCATTATTATTGGCATATAAAAATATGTCATTGGTTATATTGTAAATTTGTTTGTATCTTCAGACGAATGCAAGAAGACGAAATTATGTTATATATTTTTCGTGTCRCACAAAACCAACCTTTGAAAAAGTAAATCTTTCCATTCCCGCCCCAAACAAGAGCTGCGTCAACATTATCCGGGATGCCAGCAAATCCTTCAGCTATGTCTTTTGGATATCCGTCATCCATCGTGGTATCAGTGTACTTCCAATACTTCGTGCCTTTGAAGAAGTAAGTTTTACCGTTTTTGTACGTAAACGCGGCATCTATGTTTCCCGGCAGGCCGGACCACGTGCCCGAAATGGACTTGGGATATCCTTGAGCCAGCCCGTCGTCCGTCAACTTCCAATAGTAGTCGCCTGCACGATGGAGAACGCGGTTGTATTTTTTATTATTATATTCGCGCACATTATMTCACGCGGAACTTACCTTTAAACACAAAAGTTTCGCCGGCTGCTGAATTGAACAAAGCGTTCACTTTAGTGTCTGTGCACAATTCAGCGTCGCTGCCCTCTGTTCCCGGAGGTTCTTGCGTTGTTGTCTTTTTACCCGATCCCTGGCTTGTACTGTCGTCGTCGTTGTCTGATCCTTCTCCCGAGCTGTTAGCACCATACAGAGCCTAGTAAGGTGGACAAAAAAATGTGTTGTTAATCACATGGCCTAATTTAATTGTATAAGATGGGTAATTATTGTTTTCATGCTCAACCTGAATGGCTTCTATGTCGTCGCTGTCCAAATTAAATGATGGATTATAACCTCTATAAAATGGTGCCATTAACGCGGACCGGACGTCTGAGTGAGACAATCCTAATGAGTGACCGAATTCATGAGCTGCTACTTGGAACAAGTTAGTGCCTGTAAAATACAARCACACGATTATATCACCTACTGTAGTAGTTATCTATATTTTGAAATATTTATTAATAATGTTTCCATATAACGAA